CATGGGCTGTTAGCTTTCTAACAATGTGACAGAGTACCTCAGATAATCAGCTTAGGTAGTATGATGGTTGTCTGTGACAGTTAACCATCATTGTCATCTTGGCTAGGTTTAGTTAGAATCACCTACTAGGAGACATGCTATGGGCATGTCTTTGAGGCATTTCCAGAGAGGATTAGCTGAAGAGGGGACCCACCCATTGAGGATGGTAGCACATCACTCAATAGACTGGGTCTCAGACAGATGGAAGGAGGAAAAGAAGAAAGCCAGGGTACCATTCCTTCTTCTCTGCTCCTTTCCTACTGGGATGTAGGAAGGTAAGGTGTTATAGCCGCATGCGCTTGTTGCCTCAGAACTGCCTGTCACCATGTACCTAGTATGGTGGACTGAGAGTCAAAACGAAACCGTCTTCTTTACGTTACTTTTCTCAGATATTGGGAATAGTGTCTTAGTCAGTGTGGTACTGTTGCAAGGGGACACTGTGACCATGATAACTCTCATAAAAGAAAGCATTTCACTGGGTCTGTTTTACAGTCTCAGAGAGTGAGTCCATGACCATCATGGCAGGAAGCATGGCAGCAGGGAAACAGGCATGGCCTGGAGCAGTAGCTGAGAGCCACAGCTGACCCACACTGGCCCTAGCATGGGCTTTCAAAACCTCATAGCCCAACCCCCAGGAATATACTTTCTCCATCAAGGTCAAACCTACTCTAACAATCTTTCAAATGATGCCACTCCCAGTGAGCCTGTGGGGACCATTTTCATTCAGACATCACAGCCAACAAGTATCTTTCCTGGTTTCCTTAGCACAGTGAGATTCTATATTAATCTCTCACTTCATTTACTCTGACCTGTTGTCAGTAAGATTTTGGTTTGCACTAAAGTCTTCTCTCTTAAACAGCTTCTACATTGGTTTTCTCCCGCCCACTCCTTTTTCCTGCTTTTTTGTTTGGCTCTGCGTTTTGTTTTTTAAGAAATAATTTATATGGTTCAGGCTGGTCTTTAGTTTGCTATGTAGCAAAGGCTAGCCTTTAACTCTTGATCCTCCTGGGTCTTCCTTTCTGAGTGCTGGGATTAAAGATATGTGCTCCCAAGCCTGGTTCCATTTCTATTTTACAGTTTGTGCTTGCCAGAATGTCTTATAAATAAAACCATGCACTGAGTCCATCGCCCATACCTGCCCTCTCTCACTTGGTGTATGTTAAATGATGGGACTTGAGCTGCAGAATGGCTCAGCAGGATGTGACCTGTGATGTGACCTGACTTCCTATGACTTCCACGTACATGTCATTCCACATGTGCCCGTGCACATGGATAGACACATAATTAATTTTAAAAATTAAATAATTAGTCTCAAATTTTACCTTAGTTTCTTTTCATTTAAACTTTTTAAGAAGTGTCCATATTCTTACTAAACCCTCCTGCTAGTTTATGAGGATAACCTGAGAGCCTAATGTTTAGTTTTCCATTTAGTATACATTTTCTTTTTTTCTGTTATAAAGTTACTGAACAATGTGGTCATCAATATTTTAAAACACCTAATGGGATCCTTCACACAGGCAATAAACATTGAGTTTCCTGCTCTGACGTGTGAGGCTAAGGCCTAGAGTCAGAAGAACCGGTGTCACTGGGAACTTGGGGTCATCTGCACTGTGATGAAGTTGGACAACAGATGATGTCACCAGTAACTGGCTGAAGCAATGAAAGACTTAAGCACTGGGCTAAAGCCCCTGCGAAGTGCTCAACCAGTCCTGTTTTACCTTTATAAACTGTGGCTTGGCCCCAGCGTCAGTAGGGAGAGCTTCCACAGCTTACAGAACGCCACTGTTTGATCTTTCTCTAGGAAAGACCAACAACCAGGTATTGAAATGCTAGACAGAAATATGCTTTATGGTTCTCATTCCAAACTGTATGAAGCAGTAATGTCTAACTCAAGCCAAAGTCAACTCCTAGCCACTTACCAAGTGAATGTTCTGTGCATTTTATACCTTCATTGGAAAAATGAGAATCATCCGCTCTGATGGAAGCTTTGGGAGCATGAAGCAGTGAACTGAACAGAAAGCAGCCATGAGTAACTAGAACTGACTGCAGAACTGTGGGGAATGTGGCCACAGAAAGTAATTGGAAGCTTTGAGTCACTTTCTGTTTCAGACGTCTGTGAATGTTGTGTTTGGTTTGATCACATGTTCCATTTGACTAAGCAGTTTATTCATAGTGAAGTTGGTGAAATATATAAATAACCGAGTTCAAAGAAAATGTCACATTTTACCTCTGTCATTTTTCTGTTTAAGAAGAGGAGGGTTTTCAAATACTTTTATGTTTTTTAAAAGTGGAGGGGGGCCTGGAGAGATGGCTTAGCGGTTAAGAGCACTGACTGCTCTTCCAGAGGTCCTGAGTTCAAATCCCAACAACCACATGGCGGCTCACAACCACCCATAATGAGATTAGATGCCCTCTTCTGGAGTGTCTGAAGACAGCTACAGTGTACTCATAAATAAAATAAATAAATCTTTTAAAAAAAAAGTGGAAGGGAAAGCTAAGGAGGTTTTTGACGGCAGTATTAAAGAACATCATGGGACACATCTGTAACTGTGTCTCTCAGGAGACCAAGGAGGACTGCAGGGTCATGGCAGCCATGCACAGTCAGACCCGTCAACTGCAGCAAGGACGGACAGCAGAACAGCAAGGACGTTCACACAGTGCAGATGAGATTGAGAAGACACTTAAGGCACTAAGGATGGACTGCAGATTTTAGTATTTTATATCAGGGTATTAGAGAAATCATTATTTTGTTAGACATGTATCAGAGGTGTAGGAAGACAGATCAGTGAGTTAACCTCTTACCCTGTAAGCATGAGGGCTAGTGTTCATGTCCCCAGTGGTATGGTGGCCTGCTCACAGCCCCACTTCACAGGAGGTGGAGGCCAGAGCAGGCTAGCTAGTCAGACTAACAGAGACCAAGAGCTGTGACCTGGCAAGAGATTCTGCCTCACTATATAACATGGAGAGCAATTGAGGAAGACAGCCTCAGGATTCAATATGCACACATGCGCCTTCACACACATACACATATCCATGGTGCCCATGTAAAACCAGAGGACAACTTACAAGAGTTGGTTTTCTCTTCCCATGTGGGCCCCAAGGATTGAACTCATGTCTTCAACTTTTTGGCATTTGTTTTCTCAGCCATCTCACTGGCCCCTAACTGATGCTATGAGCTCCATGTGCATGTTAGATCTCCACCAAGGATAGGGCTGCTGACCGTACTGTATCCTCTGGTGCCCAGTCCTGGTACCTGTATTCTTCAGGTGCCTGTTGGCCCTTGTCATCTGCAACAGCGTCCTGTAGCTGTTGTTCATCCTTGAGGTAGGTTGATCCTTGGTTTCCTGACTTGACTGATTTGGGGATAGCTCAGTCTTAATCATTCTCAAGATGATTCTGGCTATAGTTCCTGAGGTATGGGGAGTGAGAGACTGGCCAACTCTCCTCTTGAGTGCTGACCCATTGAGTAGAGGAGTTTTGGTCAGATGAGAACCCCCAAATGGATTCCAGGCTTGATCTTGGGTTGAGTCCATAGTCTTTTTATCAGGACGGCTGGCTTGCCTCCTGAAGGTTTCTGTGTCCCTTCCTTATCAGGAGGCCATGGATGGGCTGTGGCTCTTTTCCTCTGAGTTGGTCCTCAGCTGTCCACGCTCTCCCCTTTATTTCTGGCACTTTCCGTCTTTGTTTGAAGTTGTCCGTTCTCTGTTATCCTGACTTTTCTCATTCACTGCATCACATGTGGGCTGCTTCTGGTCCACTATCCTAGCCCAGGTCTCTTTACCCTAAAGCCTCTGCCCCATAAAGGGAGTGATCATGGAGTTACAGTTCAGAAAGGAAAAACACTTGTTACCGTGCCTGTAAATAATCTATGAAAGCACACTGCTTCCATGTATCATATATTAATAAATAAAATTGTGTATGTGAATGTGGTGCCACGGATGGAATGCCACACCTTGCATGACCCAGGCAAGCAACCCACTATTGGGCTGTCTGTTCCCTTAGCCCTCCCATAGTATTTTTGTGTTTGAAGTGTTGGAGAGTGAACCCAAGTCCTTGCTCATGCTAGGTTTACAAAGCGAAATCACTGGCCCTTGCTATTGGATGTATTTTTATTTGTTTTAGACAAAGTTTTGCTGTGAAGCCCAGGCTGGCCTTGAAATTGTAATTTGCTTAGATCAATCTCTGGAGGGCTGGGACTATATATACAATTACACTAGAATCCAAACTAACAATTTTAAAAAAATATTGGTGTTTTGTTTTGAAAAAATATCTTTATGGTTATGTTTTATGTATGTATGTATGTGCACTGTATGTGTCTGTATGTTTGTGTGAGTGTGTGTGTGAGAGAGAGAGAGACAAAGACATGGTGGGGGCAGGGGAGAGAGAGGGAGAGAGAGGAGAGAGAGGAGAGAGAGAGAGAGCGCTCACATGAGCATGTGAGTGTGTTACCTGTGGAGGCCAGAAGAGTGTGTCAGATCCTCTTTAATTGGAGTTGCAGATGGATGTGAGCTGCCTGCCAAGTAGATGCTGGGAACCTATCTTGGTCCTCTGGCCTAGTCGGTGCTCTTAGCCACTGACCCCTCCCTGACAGCTCCTAGAGAATGTTCTTATTGACACTTTCTATATTGGCCAACCACAGGTCTCATTATTAGTCAGCTTTCCTTCACATAACTTAGCTGGCGAGTGCAGTAACTGGGAAAGTTCTTCTGCAGAATTACACATGGAGATGGTATAAAGTTATGCGTTATGAAGCAAAATGTTTTCATTGTTTAAACATCTTTGTTCATTGCATACATCCAAAGGAAATAAAAACCTATTTGTCACGACCTGGAAATGATGTTGTTGAAAGAAAAGTACAGCAGGAGTAAATTTTTATAAATGAAATGCTGCAGGTTATTTTTTGCTCAGAATTTTGGTTACAGTTGTTTGGGATTTGGCTTTAAAGTCTGTCGTATTCTCAGGAGCTCTGCCAGTGCCGGCCTGGAGAAGGGAATTGCCCCTGCTGTAAGGAGTGCATGCTGTGCCTTGGGGCCCTGTGGGACGAGTGCTGCGACTGTGTCGGTAAGTCCACAGCCAGGGCTGTCTTCTGACCTTCTCTAAAGCACAGAATGGAATCCTGGACTTTAAATGATGTAAGGGGGGGGGGGCTGTCCACACACTCACGCACACATGCACACACACTGTTGTTGCAGACAGCAGCCTTCCATTAGGTTCCCTTACAGACCTTTGCAGTCCTGTGACTTCCCTTCCTTTTAGGTAGAAACTGTCCCCCACTTTTCATGGGTGGGGTACATCTTCTGAGAGGACTCCAGTTAGGACACAGCCTTTGTCTTCTGCCTCAGGTGTATGTGCCTTCGTACACACTTTGTGTAACAAGCTTTCTTCCCAACTCCCTGCAATGAGTTTCTCAGATGCCAGGCTGGGTGGCAGAGGCTTATAATCCCAGCTATTCAGAAGGCTGAAGCAGGAGGATCACAAATTCAAGGCATGCATGTGTTCACAGAATGAGTTCAATGCCTACGTGTCTCAAAATAAAACAAGAAAATGAACAAAAGAAGAAAGAGAAAGAAAAACATGGGACAGAAGGGACTCTTGGTAGCAGAACACATATCTGCCACGTGTGAGGTCCTAGTGAGATTACCTACCAAAGGGGATGGGGGCAGAGGGGGAGAACTGATTTTTTCTTCCCTCTTCATTTATTTTTGTTTTACGTGTATGGATGCTTGTGTGTATGTTGGTGCACATTGGTTGCAAGGCCTGTGGAGGCCAGAAGGGGCTGCTGGCTCCCTGCAGTTAGAGACAGTTGTAAGCTGCCACATGGTGCTGGGAATGGAATCCAGATCCTCTCAGCCACTGACCTCATCACGAGTTTATCTCTTTCTGATTTTTACTCAGAGTCCTTGCTTGTTTTCATCCTATAGTCCAACATGTTCTTTCTGTAAAGATTGCAGGTATTATTGGTAAAAGGTTCTCAACCATATCTACCTTCTGAAATTTAATTATCCAAAGGTTACTAATATACAAGTTAAAACACCAGATAGCTAGTATTATTTTAATTAGACTACTTTTTCCTGAAACCATCTGTTTCTAGGTCAGAAACAAAACCATAGATAAAAAGTTTTGTGTGATTGGAATGCTCTTTTTTTTTTTTTTTTTTGTATTTTGGACTGCCGTTTATTATTTATTTATTGTGTGTGGGTGTGTGTGAATAGAGGTCAGAGGACAACCTCAGAAGTTGGTTTTCTTCTGCCACCTTGTGGGATTGATGGGATCGAGCTGAGGTTCTCAGGCCTGTGCCCAAGAGCCTTTATTTGCTGGGCCATCACACCAGTGTACAGGCTTGCCATTGAATCTGCAGGTCTAAATCGGATCCCCAGAGCCTTGAACATGTGTTAGCTGTATGTGTCAGACTCAGTGGCAAGTGCTTCTACTCATTGAGCTGTCTCACTGGCCCCTGTACTGTTTTTAGCTAATAGGCAACAGAAATATTTGGGCTTGAAGTTGAACATGATATCACATATCTGTAGTCATAGCTGTTGGGAGGCCAAGCAGGAGAAGCTGAGCTGTAGTAAGACCTTATCTCTAGAGACCAAATAAATAGACCAATCATGAAAAGAAATATTAAAGGGCTGGAGAGATGGTTCATCCTGGCTCAATTCCCAGCCCTCACATGAAAGCTCACAACCGTCTGTAATCCAAGTGATTAGACACCCTCACACAACAGACATATGTGTAGGTAAAACACCAATGTACATAAAATAAAAAAGTAAACTTTAAAAAGAAGAAATAGTGAGTTTGGCTTTTAGAAAGAGCCACTAAAACCAGGCATGGTTGTAAGTGTGGATGTGCGCATCTGTGCAATGTTTGTGGATGATGAAGGTAGAAACAGATTTGGGAGAGGAGAGAAGAGATCATAAAGGAGATAAGAAATGGAGATGGTAATGGAATTCGTGAACAGTGAAGCAAAGAGGCTGTGTGAGGGAAGACAGAGGATGTGCTGGAGCAGGGGGCTGCCAGGAGGGATGTATGGGCAAAGGAGTAGATGAGAGAAACGTGTAATCCTTCTCCCTTCCCGCCTCCTTCTCTCTCTCTCTCTCTCTCTCTCACACACACACACACACACACACTCTCTCTCTCTCTCTCACACACACACACACAGAGTCTTAGTTACTTTTTTATTGCTGTGATGAAACACTATTATCAAGTCAACTTATAAAAGGAAGCATTTAATTTGGAGGCTCACAGTTCCAGAGGGCTAAAGGGCATGACCATCATGGCGGGAGGAGCATGGCAGCAGGCAGGCAGGCATAGCTGAGAGCTTACATCTTATCTGAATGAAAAGATAAAATTAAAAGAGGATATAACTACTCCTAAAGTAAATAAATAAGAGATGTTTATTGTAGCTATAAGGAAGAAAGCAGGCAATAGGAAGAATCCAGGCTGAATATGACCAGCTGACAAAACAGGAACCATGAGAGGGAAAGGGAGAGCAGAAAAGCCACCAACCAGGAGAGGTGGCCTGTGCCAGGGAAGGGAAGAGGAAGCTCAGTCCCTGGGAGAAGAGGTTTAGGGTAAGGTGAGGAAAGCTGGGCAGTCTCAGGTACTGAGAGATGCTGGGAGAGCTGGCCTGCATCTGTTTTGATATGTTAATAGGCACCTCAGTTAGCCATTTGTCCCTGGTTTCTGAGACATAACATTCTAGCCTTTTGTTGATGTTAAAGGAGTGATGTAATCTCTTCTATAACTACTTCCTGTTAAAATTGGGGGGATCCAGGAAGGCTGGAATGTAGGACAAAGCTGAGAAGGGAGACAGGAGTGCAGACTGGGTGGTATCTGTTTTGCCTGCTACCCAGGTTCTGTGAGACCACCTGGGACTAGTGAAATGCTGACAGCTTTGGAGACCTCTGGGATGTAGGTTCCAAGGAACACCAGCACTGGCCATCAAAGGCAGTTTTAGTTGATTGGCAATCTGCTGGGACAGGTACAAAATAACAATAGAAGGTAAATTTGGGGTAAAACTTCCATCTTAGGTGTACATTTGACAGTTACAGGCCCATGGTCCTGGTAGTCTAGGAGAGGAGAGGAATCCCAAGACCAGGAGAAGGGGGATCCCACCTCAAGGGTAAACAGGGTAGGCAGTGAGGGAGAGCTTAGGCTTGGTTGACTAAAGAGTTCTTATCTGGAGTCCATTTGACCTGTAATAGGTGGATCCAAGTCTCACGACTCCCTGACAAGAATTTTGTAAGTTTAGAAAAAGAGATAAGAATTTTAGGTATATTAACATTAGCATTGTTTGTAATCTGTACTGAATCCACATGTAAAGACTCATGCCCCTGAGTAATAGTAAAAGAGGGTTGAATGTGTAGATTGGACAGAGGTGTTTTCAGCAGAAACACTCTTTTTCCATTCTTAGGAGACAATCAAAGAAAATTTATCAGGGCTACATTAATAGCTTATCAGAACTCTATTAATTAAAGCTAAAACCCTGAACTCTCAAAGTCTAACAATGGCATAGAGAGGGAATGAAATCTGAAACACTTTAAACTCATTTTGTGACTTTATCTCCTTCAGAGTGAGGTCTGTCAGCAAGGTAAATTGTGTCAGCTTTTCTCAACAGAAGACCTAGTAGTCCTAGAAAAATGAGTCCTGAGGCCTGACTTAAATGAACTAACAAGGCATCTGCAGCCTTGGGGAAGGAGCTTGTTTGACTGATGCTGTATAACCCACAAAACTACTCTTAGCCTAGCCATCAACATCCTCAGAGATCTGAGACTAAACCTTAGCAAATAGTATAATACAAATGACCTGTGTATCAATTAAAGTGACAGAGACTCACTGCTACCTGGGCAGTTCCCCTAGGCTACCATGGTCTAGGTGGCTTGTTGGGGGCAGTGGTCTATCTTTGGCTATCAAACATGACAGCATTAAATCTTTAGCTGCAGCACAGAGCAGCTCGGCCTTTGGCTCCGAGGTCCCAGAGTGTCTGAGAGGTTTTGCTGTGGAGGAGGCTCCAGGGAAACTACCTCACTTTTACCAGGCAGAGGACGGCAGGCAGGTGAGACATGGGCAGTTTTCCCAAGTGCTGAGCATTTTCATAGTCCAGGGGGAGTCCTCAGCACCCCATCTGTCTTTAGAGACCTTACAGTTGCTGCTGCTAGGAGCTGACACACTTCTTCCAACAAGCCCACACCTACTCCAACAAGCCCACATCTCCTAATAGTGCCAGTCCCTGGCCAAGCATATTTAAACCACCACACATGGCAATAAGCATAGCTCTGAGAGAATTAAAGAACATGGATCCTTTATGAGGTCAGTAAGTTAACTGACCGTTAACTTACATGTCTTAATTATCTTTAACAGTTTACAAGTTAGTAGCTTTTATAAGATTAGGATTTTACAGCTTTATCCCTGTTAAGTTTAAGTCTTAAAAATTTGAGTTAAAGATTTAATTGAAGATCCTTTAGAACCAAAATAAAACTTCAAACTATAAATTCAGTCCATAGAGATTGGGAACTTTATCCCTTTATAGTGCATCATTATAAAACATCAGAGCTTTTTATATGACTCTATATGTTTAAACAAGAGTTGAATCCAAGTTACATTTATAATATATCCTAAACAAAAGTTGTATTACATATATAGTATGTTGTAGCAAATTAAAATTACCCATGTATAGGTTTTTAACTATAAACTTTTTGTTGCAGGATTTAAGCCAAATTTTGCTACAGATTTTTTTACTACACCCAATGAATTTACAAATCCTGAGGTAAAGACTGTTTACACAATAGTCTTAAAAGATTTCTTGAGAGCAGAGTGCAGAGAAATTGTAGTGTAACTTTAGTTTTTTCAAACCTTATTTTTAATGATGGTTCTTTTTTTGGGGGGGGGGGGTTTGGTTTTTCGAGACAGGGTTTCTCTGTGTAGCCCTGGCTGTCCTGGAACTCACTCTGTAGACCAGGCTAGCCTCGAACTCTCGAACTTAGAAATCCGCCTGCCTCTGCCTCCCAAGTGCTGGGATTAAAGGCGTGCGCCACTACCGCCTGGCTTAATGATGGTTCTTA